TGGCTCTTCCACAAAATACCGACTTCTGCACATGGGCCACAAAGTTTCAAATCGCACTGTAGTGCGCGCCCGCACGTGGTATTTTGTGGAAGAGCCACACTCAAGGGGCCAAAGAGCCGCATGTGGCTCAAGAGATACAGTTTGCCCACCACTGCACTAGACCAATCACAGCGGACACCCTGGTGTGCTACCCTGATCCCCCTGTTGCACTGCTGACAGCTCACAGCTGTGTCCTTCTGACCTTCACTGAGGAAGCTGCCTGACTTAGGAAACCACGCATCCTCCCCGGGCAGCCCACATCCGTGGCCTCACGGGATCTCTCGAAGGCGCCACCTCAGTCTCACGGCCCAGGGTTAGTTGAGAATGCTCTTGCAGCCGCACTGCAGTGCAAATTCTTCCTCACAGTTTCCCTAGCTCCTTTACAGGTGTTATTCCCAAGAGCACTCCCCAGTGAGACCCCTTCATCCGAGAATCTGCATCCTGGGGAACCCATCTCATAATACATTCTTTGGGGTGAGGGAGCGATATCAAGAAAAGTTTCCTAGAGAAGACAACACCAGAGGGACATGCTAAAGGAACCGGAAGGAGTTATCCCAGTGTGTAGGCAAGACTGTGACAAAAAATACCTCATTTAACAAGGCTTCAAGTTTACCCATGGTAAGGTCTTTGACTGCTGGCTACATCCTACTCGCTTCAGCCAGCTTTCATTAGGCACCGCCACGTAGAGATGGCACTAAGCTAACACTGCTTCGACAGCCGGGGAAGGGCCACTTAGCTACTGCACACTCCGAGGAAACAACTGGCAGAGTGCTCAGTGCAAGCTGAGAAAAGGATGTTGGAGGCAGTCCACCAGGATTAGGTGCAAAAAATAATCATTTGTTTGTTTTTCTTAAATAGCTCCTTGGCATTATGTACAAAATTAGAGTATTTCTTTTTTTAAAATACGTTTTTATTGATTTCAGAGAGAGGAAAGGAAAGGGAGAGAGAAATAGAAACATCAATGATGAGAAAGAATCATCGATTGGCTGCCTCCTGTAAAGCCCCTACTGGGGATCGAGCCGCAACCTGGGCCTGGGCCCTGATTGGGAATCAAACCACGACCTCCTGGTTCATAGGTCAAGAGCTCCCCGGAGTCTCTCTCTTTCTCTTTTTTTTAACCCCTCACCCAAGAATATGTTGTTATTTTTTATCTTTTAGAGAGAGAGGAAGGGAAGGAAACATCAATATGAGAAACATTGATCAGCCACACCAGCCCAGCTAGAATATTTCTTAATTAATTCACAAAAGCAAAAACAAAAAATCATCCATATTAGGGGCTTCAGTCAGGAAAACAAAACCACTCCATGGGTTTCAAGGAGGGAATTTTATAGGAAATTGGCCACAAAGAGAGAACCGAGAACGCATGGGAGAGACAATGAGTGAACCCGGAGATTCACAGACACCACCTGTAATTGTCTGTCAGGGCTGCCCTTACAAAACACCAGGGGCCCACCGGGGGGCTGAGACAACAGAAGTTTGTGTTCTCCCAGTTCTGGAGGTCAGAGTTCGAGACCAAGGTGCTGACGGGTTGGCTTTTCCTAGCCTCTCCTCTGTGCCTGTGCCCTCAACTCCTCATATTAAGGACATAAGTCCTACTGGATTAGGGTCCACCTCATCTTCACTTAATTACCTCTGTAAGGGCTCCTGGTCCAAACAGTCGCATTCTGTGGTGGTGGGTTAGGACTTGGACATACGCATGGACAAGGCTGAAGCACAGGTGAGCCCCACAGCACCACCGCTCAGTCTGGGAGAACAAATTGGAGAGACAGCGTTAATGAGGTCCAGAACCTGAACGGAGGGGCTGGAACTCAGTTTTCTGGGACCACTGAGGCTGGTGGGGGACAACAGTGAGGCCCCCCACTTGGAGGTTGGGGAGGTCAGAAGACCCTGGCCCCGCAGTGGCCACTGTGCCTACCGGAGAGAGGCAAGAGCTGGAAACAGGACTGTGGGTCCCTTCTCCCCTCCACCTAACCCAACCCAGCCAGGGCCTCCCATTGGCAGAGCCTAATCAGAGTCAGCTGGCCTGGAGTCTGGGAAACAGCCTGCTGGGTCTTAGCACCCACCCCGAATACATGGCAGAGCCCAGACAGGTGGGAATGAGGGCAGAGAACAAGCAGGCAATGGCCAATGCATTAGTTGCCTTAGTCCCGTGGTCGGCAAACTGCGGCTGGAGAGCCACATGCGGCTCTTTGGCCCCTGGAGTGTGGCTCTTCCTAAGCCTTAGGAGTACCCTAATTAAGTTAATAACAATGTACCTACCTATATAGTTTAAGTTTAAAACATTTGGCTCTCAAAAGAAATTTCAATCATTGTACTGTTGATATTTGGCTCTGTTGACTAATGAGTTTGCTGACCACTGCCTTAGTCCTTTCAGGCCGCTGTAACAAAAATACCAGAGAGGATGATTTAAACACACATATTTAACTCTCACAGTGCTGGAGGCTGGGAAGTCTGAGCTCAAGGCACCAGTAGATTCAGTGGGTGTGTGTGTGTGTTGGGGGGAATTAGATGGGAGGGGTCGTCTTCTTGCTGTGCCCTCACAAAGTAAAAGGGGCAAGAAAGCTCCCTGGAGTCCTTCTCTCTCTCTCTTTTTTTAAAACACTCACCAAAGGATATGTTTTTATTGATTTTTTAGAGAGAAAGGAAGAGAGAGGGAGAGAGAGAGAGAAACATCAATGTGAGAGAGAAACATTGATTGGCTGCCTCCTGTGCCCATCCTGACCAGGATGGAACCCACAATCTGGTATATCCCCTGACTGGGAATCAAACCTGCCACCTTTTGCTCCAACACCGGCCTGGGCTCCCTGGAGTCTTTTATCAGGGCTCTAATCCCATTCATGAGGGCTTCACCCTCATAACCTAATCACCTCACAAGGCCCCACCTCCTAAGAGTGTTGGGATTTCCACATAAACATTTAAGGGTCATACACTTCTCGGCAGCTGCACACATGCTCTGAACACTCTTGTTTTTTTCCTCGGAGGATCCAGGGCAGGTACCTGAGCCGCGCTAGGCCTCACACACCTGATGAAACAGATGCACAGAAATCACATTCTTATTCTATTTATGCAGAGAGTTTACTGTCACAGATTTGAAAATTCCAACCATGATTGCAATCACCCCCTCGCTGCAACACATCTATATTATACATGCACTGGGCTCTTTGATGTTTAGCAACTGATTTAAGCTGCACACAAATCTTTACCGTTAAACAGTCAGAAGGCAACTGTGGAATAAAGAGGTAAGGAATCAGGAAAATAAAAATGAGAAATAGCCTAATACTAAATGTACGAAGAAATTTTCCAAAGCCTACAGAGTAATCATTATTCAGGAGGAACCATCAAGAAGGAACTGTAATAAAAACACCAGGCAAACCTGCTGATGATTTGTGATCTAACTTCTGAGGCTGGCTGAAAGTTACCTGCAGATTACCATCTGCATTTCAGCCATACCGAGCACTCCGCCTTCCCACCAACACACATGCCAGAGTTCCCACACTCATCCTTCTTCTCTGACAGTAGCCCTCCTGCCAACAGCCCTTTCCCCTGTGTAAAATGTTCTTGCTCCTGCCGGGGTGCACACAGCTTCAACAGGATTTTGTACTGACCAAGTCGGGACTCACTTCCTTCCCAGCTGTCCACTTTACCTCGGTCACTTCCCTACCTCCCCTGGGATGGGAGTGCAGGATTCTTTAAGGAACCCCATTCAAGCTGAATTAGGAAAAGAGAGAGAGAAGGGAGAAGGAAGTGGGGGTAAGGAAGAAAGAGAGAGGAATAAACTAATGGCTCATCTAGGCAGGAAGTTCAAGGTATGATTACATTCAGGAACAGCTGGATCAAGGCCCTCAAACAAGGTTGCCATCCCATTCATTCTCTCTCTCTCTCCCTCTTTGCTCCCAGTGTCTCCATATGACAGCACAGATGGCCCCTAGCACCTCCAAACTTATATTCTTCCAGCTTAGCATGCTTGCAGAGAGCACTGCTTTCACAATTATGGCACCAAAATTCCCCGACCTAATTATACATGCTTGGATCTCATGCCCTCCATAAAATAATCACTATGAGCAGATAACGCAAT